ATTAGACTAAGGTCTACGTCTAGTTAGGCTTCACGTAAAAAAGAGAAGTTATAATCAATTATGTTTCCCTCTCTTTTTCACACGCTTTAGTTGGCATTCACACACTTTATATTCACACACTATACATTACACTCGCACCGTCTACCCTTACACACGCTGGGTTTAACTCTACCCTCATATACACATGGTTTAACTCTACCCTCACACACACGGTTTAACTCTACCCTCATATACACATGGTTTAACTCTACCCTCACACACCACTGATTTAACTCTACCCTCACACACACGGTTTAACTCTACCCTCATATACACATGGTTTAACTCTACCCTCACACACACGGTTTAACTCTACCCTCATATACACATGGTTTAACTCTACCCTCACACACACGGTTTAACTCTACCCTCATATACACATGGTTTAACTCTACCCTCACACACACACATGGTTTAACTCTACCCTCACACACACGGTTTAACTCTACCCTCACACACTTTTCTCATCTAACTTTGCTCTCTCACACTAAGCTCTACTCTGTCTCACACACCATGGCAGGAGTGGAAAAAATAGGAAAACAAGGAAAAACAGGAGGAAAAGGGGAGGGTGAAGAAGACGAGAAAGGAGGAGAAGAAATTAGGGCATGTGAAAGAGGAGAAAAGGAGGATGAGGAGAGGGAAGAAGGTAAGGAGGAGGAGGAAGAGGAGGATAGGGAAGAGGAAAAGGAGATGGAGGAGGAAAAGGAGGGGGAAGGGGACGGAAACAACGACGACGATGAGGAGGTGAAGGAAACGGAGGCGAACGATGGGGAGGATGAGGAAAAGGAGGAGAATGAAAAAGAGGAAGAGGCACAAGTGGGGAAGAATGAAAATGAGAAAGAAGAGGTAAAGAAAGATGATAACGATGAAGAGAAGGATAAGTAGAAGGAAAAGGAAGATACAGAGGAGGCGATGGAGGAGGTAAAAGGCACGGAGGAGGAGGAGGAGGAGGAATAGGAGGAGGAGGAGGATTAGTGGGAGGAGAAAAGTGAAGCGAGGAATAAGAGTAATAAGAGGTGAAAAAGTAGTAAAAAGGAGGAAGAAATGGAGGAAGAACAGGAAGTATTGGAAGAGGAGAAAGAGGAAACGGAGGGGACAAGCATAGATCAACTGCTAAAGCTCCTGGGCCGAGGGAAGAAGTTCATTTAGGTTACAGATGGCGTTCCTGACGGAGTATAGAACAATAAATAAAATTTTTTTCTTCTTTTCTTGCATACTCCCCCCTGGCCGAGTCGGTAAAGCGTCTCACCTGCCAATTTAGACGATGGTTCGAATCCCTCGCCCAACCTTCAAAATGAAATTCCCCAAAGAACTGTTGCTGGTGAAGGATAAAGACAGTGATTTACTGAAACTTTCAGTGTAAACTTGGAAACAAGTATGTATCCTTCATAGTGGACTCTGGATCTGATACTACCCAGGTTTCACTTCAAACTGTCGTGGATTGTGGATTGGTTAACAGGATTGGTATATTGTCTGAAGAAGACGCCAAGGATTACAAGCCATCCTTGATAGGACTCCTGGATGCACCTCTCGTGTGCCATGGTAACGTGGTTATTCATTCCACAATGTTTGTGTCTGAATGCACGCCACTTCTCCTAGGCATGGATGTACTCCACAATTACCATTGCTCTATCAGAATGTCAAAACACCCGTCCCCCACTAGTAGTTCGTCCCAGTTACTTAAACATCTTCATGGGACCAAGTCCAACAATGATGTGCAAGGTGGGACAGATGTAGTTAAAGCCATCATTGATTCTGGAAGCACCTGTTCGACCATGAACCCAAAACTTCAGAACCATCTGAATATCAAGGTTCAGGAGATGGACCCTATCACAATCATCAATCCTGGAAGCAATGGAAACATAAATACACAAATTAAATATAAAATCGAAAATGCACCAATCACCCTCAGCGGAACTACAAAACTAATAGACATCCTCCTGCACGACTGGCATGAGGACTTACTCCTCGGGTTGGATTTTCCCGACTGGAATGGAACTGACATTCGTTGACCTCGACACAGTCATAATAAGAAGCTCAGAGAATGATCTCCACAAACCAGATTTACATAAGTTACTACTCATAAAAGTTACATGAATTTCAGTTGTCATACTTAAAAGGAAAAAATTTTGCACCTTTCTCTTAGTACATTATCTGTTTTAGATAAGATCATTCTCATTGTCATCAGAAGTCAATCGCTCTTACAAGATTTTTGAGTCCACATTCTACCTAGGAGACTATAACCTCACATCATTCAATACATCATCTTGAAGTGTTATTTATTTGAAGTACTTAAGTTCTTAAGGTCCACGAGCACCTTTTTTATGCATGACGTTTTAAATATTTTGATACAATGAGTATCCCTCTGACAATTCCTTCTCAACTATGAGCCCCCATTCAAACGTAGAGGCTTATATTACCGACGTCTCGATACTCGGATGGGAAAAACAACCGACCTGCCTCGTGCGCCTGATCTAGCATACACTTACACTATCATTGACTTAGGATGTTACAGTTGATGGAAACAGTTTTAATGTGTGTAGGGATCATAGTAGTGGCGGTACAAGAGTGGTTTTGACTGTAGTCGTGTTGAAGATAGTGACGTTAATACTGAGAGAGTTTGGTAGTCTCAGCCCAGGAAAATCCCGACAGAGAATCTAACAGTGTGGATTTGTCTTTCTCAGTATTAATGGAAGTAGTAGTAATGGGAATGGTGTTGTTAGAAGTGATTGTGGGAGTGGCTGGTGTGTAGTGTAGTAGTGTTCGTAACAGTGATGTTGATGGCAGTAGTGTTTACTGAAATGTGATAGCTGGTTCTGATGTTGAAGATTCATTTGTTAGTACCGATGTTGATAGAGATGGCGACATCTGTTTGATGGTATGTTTGATCATCAAGATGTTGAAGGTTCTGGTGTTTATGGAAGTAGTTCTGGCACAAGAGGTAATGGCGGAAATGATTATGGTGTAATGGCGTGATGGAACAGGCGCTGTCGACAACTGTGTCTACAACAGTAGAATTCATAATAGTAGATGCTGATGGTAGTATTGTTGATGGTAGTGACATTTATGCTAGTTATGGTAATGGAAATAAGTTGACGGCCGTTTTTATGGTAGAGATATTACTGATAGTGGTAATGATGGTAATTGTGTTGTCGGTAAAGGAGTTAATAATGGTAATGTTTATTGAACTGACGTTGATGATAATGTCGAGGGTTTGGTGGTGAAGGTTGCGTTATTGATGGTGGTGGGTTAATGATGATAATGTTGATGCAAGAGGAGTTGATAATACTGGTAGCAGTGTTGATAGTAGTGGTGTTGATTGATGGTAGATTTGAAGATAATATTTGTGTTGATGGTATGGGTATTGATGATAAAGTTGTTAACTTGTAGCTAAGATGACAGCTGATAATATTGTTGGTGTAAGGGTGTTGATGGAGATGGTACTGTTGTTGGTGGAAGAGAAATTGATGGTAATGGTGTTTATGATTGAGATGTTGTTGGTAGTGATGTTAATGTCATTGGTGTTGATGTGAGTGGTAAAGGTACATATATGTTAGCCAGGACGGGTCCTGGCCCGGGTATTCTCCATGTGGTGACTTGGCAGTGGCTCCGGAAGGAGTGTCGGAGTTTGTACGAGAGATATACCTTTCGCAGCCCTATTGCGGGGTCAGCCTTATGACAAGGACACCGTGAGCCTTCTTTGTATTACGTCGAATACTGTTTACAGCCCAAGAGGCAGGGGCACGGTGTTTTTCAACACAGATCGAGAAGCAGTTACCTACAAAAGTTGAAGACGTCCAGTAGCTGAGGTACAGCACGTCTTCGGCTTCATTGGCGTCATATGTCCGGTGTTTACAATAGTGTGAAACATATCCAACTAAACAGACTCGTCTGTTATCTTCCCCACGCACACAGAGCTCGTATGGAGAAGCAGAGGGACTGTTGTAGGAGAGGTCAGGGTTAAATCTCTGGTACCTCATGGCTGGTGTTCTCGCTGGTATAAGGCTATAAGCTCTCTGCTCCATTGAAAAATTCCTGGCACTCCTTCCTACCGAGTGTCAAAGTGACTTGCAAGGTTCTCTGGAGATCTCTGCCTACCAGAAGGCGGCGCAGGACGGTAGTAGTAGTCGGGTGGAGAGAGAATATAATAAAATTGATGATTAATTAACGTTGTAGTAGATTTATAGAAATAATTTTTCTTTGACAAAAATTAAAAAAAAAAATTGAAGCCTAATATATACATCTTCACTAACATTTTTTTTTTTTTTTTTTTTTTAAATTCTGTTGCAGTATATGCCATAGGTAGGGTTCAATTTAATTAGTATTAAGATCAACATTTTTTTTTTTACGTTAGGTTCAGATTGATGGATCATTGTTCTGCTGGTGTACATAGCGACAATAACAAATCTTCACTCATTCTACATGTCGACAAGACTGAACACAAACACACACACACACACACACAAATATTACATACGTATATATAAATATTGAACACTTTCACCTCACTAATACATAATCACTGTCTTTGCAGAGACGCTCAGATAAGACAGTTTAGATGCCTTCCCAACTGCCAATATCCCAAACCCCTCCTTTAAAGTACAGGAATTGTACTTCCCATTTCCATGACTTAAGTCCGGCTAACCGCTTTCCCTGAATCCCGTCACAAAATATTACTCTGCTCACACTCCAACAGTTCGTCAGGTCCCAAAAACCATGCGTCTCCATTCACTTCGAACACGCTCACACATGCTTGCTGGAAGTCCAAGCCCATAGCCCACAAATCCTTCTTTACCCCCTCCCTCCAACCTTGTCGAGGACGACCCCTACCCCGCCTTCCTTCCCCTACAGATTTATTCAGAACCTTTGCCAGGATTCTGTTCTGATCCACACTCAGACACGTTAATGTGTTTATATATAAATATTTATATTGCAGGAGCAAAAAAAAAAAAAAAGTAAGCCGACCCTGCCGAGAGTCGAACCCGGGTCTTCTGATTAGGAGTCAGATGCGTTATCCGTTACGCTACAAGGCCTTAAGTAAAAAACAACTGCAATTTATATATAAACAATTATGCCGCAGCTGTGCTGTGCATATGACGTGTGAATAACAATGTTGTGAGTGAGGAGATGGAATGTAGCCATCGTGGTAGATTTTTACATATATTTTCTCGTTGACAATGTAAATAAAATATTTTTGAACCTAGCCTAACTAAGAAACATATATATATATATATATATATTTATATATATAAATATTATTATTTTATTTATATATTTATTGCAATTAATATAATATATTTATTAATAGTATATATATAATATATAAAATCTATATATATATATATATTATATATAATATATATATTATATATATATAAAATTTATATATATATTATATATATTCAAAAAAAACCACTGTGAAAGAGTAGTGAAATTCCAAGCGCTTTCGTGATTTACTCACATTGTCATAGTTCCTTGACAATGTGAGTAGTCACGAAAGCGCTTGGAATTTTACTACTCTTTCACAGTGGTTGTTTTGAAATATTATATTATATATATATATATATATATATATATATATATATAATATATATATATATATATATATATAATATATATATATATATTTTATTTATTTACTTTAACACTGGCCGTCTACCACCGAGGCAGGGTAACCCAGGAAAAGAAACACTTTCGTTATCATTCACACTATCATTATTCTATTGTACTTCCCACCTTCTCCTCCGGCTAGCCAGCTTCCCTTCGCAAAATATTACCCTGCTTACACTCCAAGAGCTCGTCAAGATAAAAAAAAAACATTAGTCTCCATTCATTCACATGTAACACGTTTACACATGCCTGCTGTACCTCCAAGTGCCTTGCACACAAAACCTCTTTTACCCCCTCCCTCCATCCTTTCCTATCTCGATCCCTATCTCTCCTTCATTATACTACAGATATATACACCCTCTAAGTCATCCTGGTGTGCTCCATTCTCTCTAAATGACCAAACCACCTCAACCCCTCCTCATCTTTCTGAATAATACTTTTAGTAACTCCAAACCTCCATCTAATTTCCACACTGTGAATTCTGTGAATATTTACGCCACACATTTATCTTAGACACGACATCTCCACTGCCTCCAGCCTCCTTATCCATATAAGAGTGATAGTTCCACTATGCACCAATACATTCCTTTCTTTGCCTCCATGGATAATGTTTTTTGTCTCCACAGACACCTCAATGCACCACCCACTTTTTTTCCTTCATCGATTCTATGGTTTACCTCGTCCCTCAAAAACCCATCTGCAGGCAAATCTACTCCCAAATATCTGAACATATTCACTTCTTCCATACTCCTTCCCTCCAATCTGATATCCAATTTTTCGTTACCTAACTCGTTTGATACCCTCACCACCTTACTCGTATCTCTGTTCACTTTCAACTTTCGTACTTTACACAAACTCTCAAACTCATCCACTAACCTTTTCAACTTCTCTTCACACACACCACACACACACACACACACACATACACTCATTATATATCAAACATTTGTTTATATATAATTGCAGTATATTATTACTTAAGGCCTTGTGGCGTAACGGATAACGCATCTGACTTCTAATCATAAGACCCGGGTTAGACTCCTACCGAGGTCGATTTATTTTTTTGCTCCAGCTATACAAATATTTATTTGTATATAAACAGCCATGAGTTAATACAGCCGGGAACAGACAAATAGCCGGAGTCCATACTTGAGTCCATGCTTGAGTCCATGCTTGAGTCCATGCTTGAGGCTCACTGACGTGCTCGGACTGGGAAGAAACATGGCTTGTGAACCAGCCTGCCCAGTCTATGTCATTTGCAGATGCTGCATTATTATACTTTATAATGATTCTTATCTATATCGTTTTTATACATAATAAAACAACAGCAAGTTTGATAAGAACAAGTTTGTTTTCCACATTCAAATAACAAATATCTAAATACTATAATTATTTAAAATTTAAATGAATTAAACTTACTATTATTCTAATTTAACAAAATGCACTTACGTAAGAAGCATATGATTTCCCTACTTACAATCAATCTAACTCATAACTAATATAATTTTTTAAATTTCTTTTCCCTCTGACATATACATTATTTCCTTGCTAAATTCTATACTGGTAATACTTATTCAGCCAAACTTCTACTCCCTTTATTTTTATTAAGACCATTCATTCTTTTTCTCACCTCACTAATTGTTTATTTATTTTTGCTTATCTAGGGACCAAAAAGAACCAAGTTAGCGAACTTCTGTGTCGGTCTTTTTTTTTAATTACACCTTAGCCAGAAGCGTTACGGATAAACTCGCATTTATTTTATAAATTAAGGTTTAGTTGATCCCTGAAAAAACAAAAATGAGCGACATGGGGAAGTGAACTGGTCTTAGATTAATTATATGTAATCGTTTTAAAAGTTAAATAATTAAAAAAAAATTAGTTAAATTATTAAAATAAAGATATTAATACATATATAAAATTAAATTATGTTTACATTAATATATATTTATTTGTTAAATATATATATATATATATATATAATATATATATATATATATAATATATATTATATATATATATATAATATTATATATATATATTATATAAATTCTCCTTCCTCACAACATTGTTGTTCACACATGCACAGCTCCACAGCATAGCAGTTGCACATGGTTTCTTTCGAGAAGAGGATACGAGAAAGTTCCAAGGATACAACGGAGGACTCGGATGAGGATATATAGGGCGCAATTCTCTCAAGAAGCTGCAAGATCACCCGAGGACTCAGCGGACAGCCGGGTAAGTGAGAACAAAGAGATAGAGCCGGATCAAAAAATACTCCTCCCAACCACAGAATTACTGGACAACGAAGGTTGGCATGATGTGCGATCCCCTAAATCCAAGAGACAGTTTTCTTGCCTCAGGTCGGACAAGCCAGACCATCAGCAGGCAAGAAATTCAGGATGATTAATAAAAGACGTCACGACACCTAGTATGCTGCAGTACGATTTCGTGAGTCATGCTGCAGTAATTCACCTGTATAGGTAATAAGGCCTGAAGATATCAGTGTTTCCAGTTCTGAATTGGGAGTCTATTCTCGCTTCCCGAAACATTGTCCTATGAGGTACTGCAGTAGGTGAACGACCTCAAATCACCACTTGTTTTGTCAGAGCTAAAATCCACAGAGCGGGCCATAAACGGCGTACTAATGCGCTATCCGCTAGACATGCCTCTCGATGCAATCCACAAAAAAACTAAACATTCTGAAAGCAGAACGGCTCCAAACTAAAAAGGATGGCAACGTACTTACAAGGCGTCTTAATCCAACACATAAGACCTCTCCAGCTCAACTAGACCTCTGTTGCTAAGGAAAATGTCAGGTTAGGAGGTAAAACACAGAACCTATGAGGTGCTGCAGGTGTAAGAGGTACAACCACTTCAGCGCCCGATATCAGTTTAAGGAAATATGTGGCATCTACACAAAGTTGTATCAAGCAGGTTCATGATTGAGAGAAATCTAATCTAATCGTAAACAATTATTATTGATTTTAATACGAATATTAGTTCAAGGTTATATAAATTATTCATTTATGATTAATATAATTTGTGAGTAATTTCAGCTATTCCTGACACGTCACTCATAAAATTTTGCTTGAAATATGACCAGACCAAATTTTCACTACACTCCCACTCTCAGCGTGCAGAGTCAGGTGGTCAGGTCATATGAGGGGTGATATCTAAGACTTATAAGCCTTTTGCTGTCCTACTATTTTTACAGTTCCTTGATAATGTGAGAAATCACTAAAGGGCTTTGAAATTTACTTCTCACTCACCCGACAGTAGTTTGTTGCATACGTATGTATGTATGTATGTTCGTATGTATGTATGTACGTATGTGTGTATGTACAGTATAAGATAGAACATCTTGACAGACTAATTCCCAAGTAACAGCAACTCCAAATTTCCTGGAGTGTAACCTTACACCTGCTGTTCTTGTTCACATAGCAGTAAGAGGGTACCTGGTGTTAGTCGACTGTTTTGGTTCGCATCCTGGGGAACAATTTTAAAGAACCCCAGTGAAAATCAGACAGGCCCCTATGACACACTGACTTTATTGGATTATCCTGGGTAGCTAACCCTCCCTCTGATTAAAAATACTAACAAATCTTGTCTTAGCTCATCTTACTACACCCACAGAGTAATACTTGTCCTACTAAAGTCTCCCAGCTCAGGCTGACAGATCTCAGCGCTGTGCAACAACACCTGTGTCAGTAAATTTGACATGGAAATAAATGTAGCTTTAATTTCGACTGTGTAACTGTCATTATAAAAGAACAGCAGCACACTGCTTATATACATAATCCCCTCCACTAAAAAAAAGAAAATCCTACTGCCACTCCTAACCGCCCCAGGATGCGCACAACAACAGTCAGATAATACCTCGTAACACAGTATTGGTATCAGTCACCATAACACCATGTAACACCGTAACAGTATTAGTATCAATAACCTCATAACACCGAACACTAAATTTAATCGATAAATCGGCCTGAACACATAACTTGAACATATAACATATAACTATTTAACACATAACTATTTAACAACAGTATCAACCATTATAACTTAAACCGATTTAACAAATATTTAAAAGCGGCTTTTAAAAATATCATTTAGCATGACTATTTATCAGTTGCAATTAACGTGATCATTTATCAATGGGATTTGCCATCACCACTCATCTTCCCCATTAACAATAGCTCCACTAACCATTATCATTTCCATTGACTATTTTCAAGCTGTTATTAAGGCATAGAATCAGTTACAGGATTTACATTACCATTGATCTTCCCCATTAACAATAATTCTACTAATCATTATCGTTTCCCGTGACTATTTTCAAGCTGTTATTAAAGCATAGGTGCAACAGCACCTATTACATTTATGTAATTACCGTTGCTTATTGAACAGAATACAGGTGAACGGG